CAATCTTCAAGGGCCAACTCAACCTATCTATTTACAGTACAATTTTCAGGGAACAAATTGGAATATGCGAATAATAACCTTTACTCCTCTACTTAGATGGATTTAAAAAGCTTTGTTGTACATTTTCCTTGGTCAGGACTATATTGAGATTTTTGTTGAGTACTTATGTATTACATTTTCTTTATTCTTTAGAGCTTTTATTTAAAAATAAAGCCAGAAGTGCAATACTTATCGTTAGACTGCCTCTTTTTTTAGAGGGTAGGCTGTAAAATGGCAAAAGGATTGGCTGGGGGAGAGGCAAATGTCCTGTTTTATTAACAGCAGTCATAGGTTTGAAGAACATTTTTCCTTTTCATTCATGAAATATAAAAGGAGCTCTGTTAAGATTTTTAATTTTGCCCTTGGGCTGTAGTGCCTGTGTTAATACATGAAAAAATTAATAAAGAAAAAACCCCCTCAGAGATGCACACCATGGGAATAAAATATGCCTGATATATAGTGTGAAAATAGAATAAAATAGAATGATTTGTATCTGAACAGAATAATGAAGAATGTAAGCCTGAATCATCCAGCTATCTAGTATTCCCCATGGATTATAGCAACATGTGGTTGACTTGAATCCCATAATCTTTACAGTGAACTGGAGTGACCAATGTTGGTATTAAGTTACTGATATAATGAGAGTACCAGACAGGCTTTTAGAAAGTAAAGTGGACAATCAGATAAAACAAGCTGATTGTGTATAACGTATCTCCAGAAGCAGCTGCTGGAGATTTAGAGGAAGATTTATTCATTAGGGTTGATTTACTAAAGGCAAACAGGCTCTACACTATGCAAGTGAATTTGCTCTTTGACTTCCACCATCCAATCATGTGCTTGCAAAAATTGTTTTTTTTTTCCTAGGTCGCGATTGGGTATTCTTTGCAATGTGACTTTTCACCACATCCACAAAGCTAGGAGAACCTTACCTAGGAAAGTGCAAATTCCCTTCCAAAGTGAACAGCCTTTAGTAAATCAAGTCCAATTGCTATTATGTCTTCAGCAGCTCTTTTAAGATTTTTCACACAGCTCCACCAGGGGCACTGCCACCACTATGAGGTGTGTGCTTGAGTTTTCATTCACTTGTTTAGTATTGTTTTCTTTCTGACAACCCGTTATTGTAAATGAACTAGCATTGTGATACTATAGGTAATTTAGCTTTGTTTATTCTCCAAAGGTCAGATTGGCCACCTTCTTTTTGATGGTCTTGTTGACACAGGCGCTAGATGCAGAATCTTGATGTGTGACTGTCAGTGGAGTTTGACCTGGCTTTCAAACACGCTCCTGGTAGAGAGCAATAAAAGTCAAAGGGTTACTCACAGAAGGGTGAAGAGTATGGAGAAGGCAGGAGAAGTGAACAATCTAGGACAAAATAGCTGATTTGGAAAAATTATCCAATTCAGCTATGTTGTCCTAGATTGTTCACTTCTCCTGCCTTCTCCAAATACTTCACCTTTTTGTGAATAACCCTGCCAATGTTCTTTTTCTCTGTGACATGTAGCTTGTTTACTGATCATTTAAATGATTTTTCCAATTTCAGGAAACATGGGGGATTTATTTCAAGCAATCCCAAAAAACACAGTGGATTTCCCTTTTCTGATTAACATGGACCCCAAAAGCTTTCTCACTTTCTCATTGAATGCTAAAAAACCTTTTTGGTACCTACAGACAGTATTCTCTTAGTTAAACAAACTTTTCTATGTAGCACACGCTGAAACTTACATTTATGTAACAGCATTGCTACCTAACAGTATATGCTGCAAAGTTTCATGGGTGTAGTGAAGAGGAGAGCAAGGTACAATGCAGGAAGAAAGTGATTACACCATCAAATTCAATCAACGAGATTATCTGTCTCCACTATCGCTGACCTTGATTCTGTTTGCTAAGGCATGAATAACCTACCCTCAAAAAGCAATGATGGGTCCTTATGGAGCACATCACATCTTTCTTTCTGTCTAAAAATGTAAGAGGTCTTCAGGAAAAAAAAAAGGTATAAGTATAACGGAAGGTCGCAAAATAGTTTAATTCAGATAGTTTCTATGAACGTCTAACAGCTAGGAATGTGAAGAAGGGCCCTCTTAACCCATACCCTGCTTATATGATTGCACAGATTACAGCCTGTGTGTATCACACTATTAAAACAAATGTATGATTTTATTATGTGTCATGCATTCTAGTCAGAAATATGAGAATAAATGGCACATTATGTTTAGTGTACTTTACAATATGTCCCTAAATAGGCCATTTGCTTCAAAAGGTATCTCCAATTATTTTACTAATTTATAAACATAGCTTATCACAAGCTGAACTCAAAGTGAAAATATTCTTTTCCAATGCAGAGTAAGCAAAAGATTTACTTTATTCGCCCCACCAACAACTTGTATTTACCTTTCCTTTCCTCCCCTGCTAGTCAGTTTGGCCAGATAAATCTAAGACAGTTAGCGCTGTTTGAGCTCCAAGTCATGACTTAGCGCTTACAGGTGACAGCGCTAAGTACCTATATGGTCAATTGCCAAGCAGCAGCGCAGTCACTTGGTAGGAGGAAGAGAAAGTCACATGCTCCCAAATACCCAGAAGTTCTGAATTTACTTATTTTTCCTGGTAGCTGAACAGTTCATTGGGGGAACAAGGTAAGTATAAGCTCATGGTGGCATGGCCCTTAAAGTGAACTCGTTTTTCTCTGTATGGGGAAAAGCTCTAAAGGCATGTAACAGTGGGATATGAATGGGATTTTCCTGTGTATGTGCAGATGTATGCAATTACAAGTTTGCAGTGGCTGTACAACGTGGATCTGGCCATAGCATAAACAGGTAAGTAGGCCTTAAGGGTTGTGCTGGACGTGGTAAATAATGGATATTTTGTACGAATGCAAGTCCAACCAAATCTGAGTTTACAGATGTGGGTGGATGTTATTAGGTAGATGCCCCCATTTGTTTGACATCTGTTGGGAATAAATATGAAATCATTTATAGAGAGAGAGTGATTCAAAAGCCTAAAATGTAAACCTGGCCACACATTGTACAATATGATTATACAGTTTCTGTACAATCTCCATTAGATTTACCAAAACTATTTAAAATGAAGACAAAACCTAAACAATCCATTCAATTTGTATCCAATCAGGCAGGCACTTACGCTACATAGTTGGTATTAGATCTGTAAAATCAGATTGTATAGTGGTCAGCTTTAGAGAGGAAAAAGTGGTGCTCCACTATTATCCACTCCACCGCTCTATTCAAAATAAAACCCCTGTCCATACAGCTAGACACAAATAATAATAAAATGTAAAATAGTATACTTTGTGTTTTGCTATATTATTATCCTCTTGGCCCCCAAGCTGCAAACCTCTGAGGAATTCCAGCTAGCCCCCACACACAGAACTAGTAAGAGACTGACCAACATTTTCTATTTATGTTAAAGGACAAGTTGATATACATTTTAAGCTGGGGGCCCATGTAAAAAACGAAATCTGCTTTTATATGTAGAGTTAAGCTTCACGAACTTCTGCACATAGAAGATGTCAATAAAAATAAAGGGGTTTTTAGTGAAAAGCAATACTTTTTGGAACCAAGGTTTAGTAGTATCATAGAATACTGCTAAGTGATCCATTCACTTTAAAAGGACTAACAACATAAGCAAGTTAAACTTGCTATCATCAATCCCCATTTTATCCATTCTTTGTCTAGTGCAAATTACAAAATAAAAAGGTCATGGGGGATTGGCTGCTACAGAAAACCCCTCCACTTTATTTCTTCCCCTGCCACTAAACATATTAATTTCTGTTTTTAATGAACAGAGCGGCCATCACAACAACGCACAGACAAAAGCTCTGAAACTGCCAGTGGCTGCTGCCCTCAAGTGGCTCAATTCTGAAAATGCATAATCATTATGCATTTCATGGAAGAAACATATCAGACATTGTTGATCTCTCCTGTACATGCTAGTCATTTGGCTTTCATATTGACCCTCTTGCTTTAACCCAGGCAAGCGTTACAATGCTATAGATGTCCTTTCCTAATCTCCATACTGTTGGTTATGTGTTTAGATAAGCATTGTATTTCCAACACATACAAGTGTCGGTCAGTGAGTCGGAAAGTACTGAATTCAGGAAGGGCGTCCTTTGTATTTCTTTCATGACAGGCTCACTTTAATGAAACTTTAAAACATTTACTCTTTATAGAGAGTAAATGCAAAATAATACTTGGTCTTAAAGTAGATCTTCACTTCTGAAAAAACATCTTCCTCTCATATGCCTCTTCCCCCCCCTCCCTCTTCAACAACAAAAAATATAACCGTAAATGACTGTTCATCTGAATCCTTACCTAGGCAAGGATGACATCAGTACTGCCTTCTGCTGCCTCCCAGAATTCAGTATTCAATTATGAGATCCCACGCTAAAGTTTCTATAAAGTTGTGGTGAGGTACCAGCTTACCAACAGCAGACCCCCATCAGTTCTTAGCTAAGCAATAATGGTTTGAAGACTCACTCCTCCTTTTGCATAGAAGCAGTCTAATCTCAAAATTGTAATCATCATAATCACAAAACTGAAATGACTGAACGTTTATGGTGGATTTACCCTTGAACTATCGGACAAATTGCATCTTGCCATTAAAGCAGATTCTTTTTTGAAATGCAAATTGTGTATTTCTGATGAGTAAAATATCACAACGTGGTCTGCTTATTGACTGTGTAACAGTAATTTAATAATCAATACAAATATAAAAATGGAAATAAATAATCAAAACTGTATATCGCAAGAACTGCAGAAAAATAGATTTTACAATTTTTAAAAGGACACATACAGCTGAATGAACTTCAGATTTTCAGGTTGCCAAAAAAAGTTTTGTAAGTAGATGAGAATGAATGGAACTGTTAAACAAGTTGCGGTCTTGATTAGGATCTGTTTTAACAAAATATAACTCCTGTGCATGAACGTCTGAAAAATTGGCTTCAAAAGTAATTGGATTATATCCAACCCATGCAGTAAACCTATAGTCAGTTGTTCTCATGGAGTATCCCATAATTGTTATGTCTTTTAGATCAGGCTTGTCTGAATTCCACTGAGGAGTATCGGAGGGTCTGGGGTAAGAGCTGTAAGCGACAGTGCCCCCATTTCCTCTTCTGTCCTTGGGTGTGGTCAAGTACGGAGAAAGACTTTGTCCTTCAGTGCAAATGTCTATGTGGAATGAAGAGAATGGGCACTCTGGCAGAGGAGGAAGCTGAGCAAGATCAGCAAGGGTTGAAAAGAGTGATACTAGCTCTACAAGATCCTCCTTGACATTTCCTATAAAAAAATTAAAATAAATAAATCGCAAATAAAACAAAAAAGTATTTTATTTCCAAAAACCACATTTCATTATATTTAGAAGCAATTTTACTTGATGTGGAAATCTCAATAAATCGCTAAATATGTGGTCTGTGATATATGTTTATTGGCCAGCCATTCCTGTGATACACACACCTCTGATAGTCAGTGAATTAATGATCATTTCTGGTTGATGATGATGCTGATTTTTTTGTGAAACAATGTAGCTGGATATGGGGAGGTAACATAGAACCGAATTGTTATTTATCAGAACTACATGTGTTTCCTGCCTGGTTGTGTAGTGTCTATCAATCACAAGTGTATCTTGTAGAGAATTGCAAATTCCCTGCAGTCAATTTCCACTGGTGATATTGTTGTCATGGAATGTGGATGTTTTCTTTGGGTTTCCTGCCAATGTTATGGTCCTTAAAGAACCCAAACACTTACTGGCAGATTAACTGGTGGCTAAGCCAGCCTTTCTCAGCCAGAGTTCCTCTTGAGGTTTCTAGAGAGAAGTGAGCAAGGCAAACGTATCTCCCATCTACACTGCAAGGAGGTCATTTTTGCACTAACCATAATATAAAGGGGCACTTCTACATTGACCACTTATGTTGGGAGACGCCGCAATTTTTTACTTTCTTTTTTGTTATTTTTATTCATAAAGAATGCTATATTCATAGTAAACCTCCTGTATGCCCCAAAAGCTCTTTCCCTACATACAGTCTGTAGGCAGGTTCTTAAGTCAAGGCAGCAGCATTATTTTGCTGGGAAAAAAAATTATTGCTTGCATGTTGATGGGGAAGATAAGTGGAGTTCTGTAGACCACTAGGCAGGATAGACAACGCTGGTAGAGATTTCAGTACATGTCAACACGTACAGAAGGTTATTTTTTTGTACTTGAAGTTTTTAAAGGGATAAAATATGGGGAAATGTTCATGTATTGAAGAGATAAACTGGATGCTTCTTTATTAATTTCCCCCTGCCACACACTTTAAGCATACAGTATCATGTTGCAAAAAAAAACAAAACATGATTATTATAATACCTGGAATGTTTCTCTTTGGCTCAGGGCTCAGAGGATCAATGTAAGTAAAAATGTTCTGCTGTAGTTGGCCTCTGCTAGTGACTCCTGGGACATAAAACATCAGTGGAACTCGAGTAGCCACATCAAAATTGCTGTACTTTGCCCATTCACCGTGTTCTCCTAAAGACCACCCTGAGAGTATTAAAACATTACAAATCAGTTACATATCTGTGAGCAATCAAACAGAAGCAATATACATCTGCTCATAAGTACCATGGTCAGAGGCAAACACAATGATGGTGTCATTGGACAACCCAAGATTGTCCACTGTGCTCAGCAGCTGTCCAACCAAACTGTCCAGGTATGAAATAGAAGCAAAGTAGCTTTGACGGATTAGCCGCTGTAGGAAAAGAGCAAAACGGTAAATGTACTAAATTGGAACAAAGTTGAATCTTGTAATCCAAGAAAATATGGTACATGCAACATAATTCCTTAAAAGCCAACCTGTGCATATTCCATATAGGAAAGAGCAACAGATTTGCTTTCATTTCTACCACCGTAGCAGCACATACCTTTTCCCTTCTATCCCACTGTTCAGTTCAATTATGGGAGTGAAGAAAATACTCAACACTCTCATGCAAAGGAGAGCATGTGACTCATTCCCCTTCCACGCATGTGACAACACTGGTGCTTGGTAAATGGCCTAACATTGCCATATGGGTATGAGGAAGAGTTCTATGTTCTATCTTCCTTTCTTCATTCCGTTGGATGAATGAAGGAAAGGTGAGTATGTGCTCCTGGGCAAGTAAGGGAAGTAGTGTATCTGTAGTCATTTTTTTTTCAGTTTTAGAGCAGGAAAGAATTCAAACACCTCTCAAGGTTTTACTGCTGTCTGTATCCCAGTAGATTTACCCCCTTGGGAAATTCAAAATGTTAGAGTTGTCACAAGAACAAGAGGTGAGGCGAAATCTTCCAATGTGGACACCTGTTTTGGTAAGAATTCTCCTCACGTTGTAGAAATGTCCTCCTACATTCAGTTGCATCTCTGGGATAGAAAGTGCAGAAAAATCTCTCTGACCAGACACAGATCACAAACAATAAACTGACAGGGTTCTAAACCTTTGCTATTCTTTTCCCAAAAAAATTGTTGTTTTGGCTGGACATGCACTTTATAGCCAACCAGCTGCTTTCTCCTGCAAAAGCACAGATTTGCATTAAGTAGGAAAGTGACACTAAACTCAGGAGTAAAATCTTGAAAATGCATTAAATTACCCCAACTATTAACAAAAATGTCGCTATTTGTATAGTGCCGGGAAAGGCTAGACCCCCTATCAGAATTTTTTTTTTCTGGCTTCATTTTTTTGTAATCCAAGTATGTAAAAGAAAATAACTGATTGTCTGAGATCATAAACACTTCCCCCCATTTTATTTTCTATACTTGAAGTCTGCTGTTCTATATCTGCTGATAATGGTGAGGCATTGTTGTGTGGCCCTCTAGCTCCATGACTATGACAGTAATGCAGCTGGCCAAGGCATACCTGGAAATGTTCTGGAATTGGTCCATATGGAAAACTAATGTTTAATGCTTGAACATCCTCTCGCTCACGAATATCTGTCCATGGATTATAAGCAACAAGAGGGAGATTTCTAGGAATGTCTGGATCAGGTGCCAAAGAAATATTTTCTATTGGGTAAAGCTTTAGAAACTCCTGTTGGAAAGTAGAAAAGAAATACAGTAATAAATGCAAACAAAGCAAAAGAATTACAGATAGTCTTGCAGGTAAGACAGTTCACAAGCATCTTTTTCAACCATACATTTAGGTTTTTGGCTGGGGTGCTGCTTTAATAACAGTACAAACAATGATGTGTACTAAACCATAATTCATGCCACAAAAGCTTTCATTAGTTTTATTGAACTGTTTACATCTCATTTCTAAATAACTGCATTGGGATAAAAGACATTATTCTCAATTCACTAAGCTGTACAACTCATGTTATTTGCCATAACAGCTTAAATTTTCAGTATTGTCAACCAATGAGAGAGTAAAGCCCAAAACATAAATGGAAAAATAGATCCCAGAGCAGCCTAAAAATAAAAAAGCATGCACTGTTACCAGCAGAGTCATCTACTCGCTAATCCAGCCATGCTTGTTTTCCAGGTTGAATCACTATAGATTAAAAGGAGAACTATGGGGTCAATGCTTTTCCCCATAGTTCTCCCCAGGGTCACGCGAGGACACAAACTAGCGTCCGCCCGTGACCCAAAGCTCAGTATGCAGAAAATGTGAAAGCCGCACAGCCGTGCCAAAACACCTCTTATAGTGCGGTCCTAACTCTAAACTATGAGAGTCTCCCTCTTGGAGCACATGGGGGCAGAAGATTTCAAATTGGGTGCAGGTTTGTCAGGAGGAAGCCATTGGGATGTGCGGGATCCCTTGTGTGTTCCTGTGCCTTTAAGGAGGTTGGGCTTCCTCCTGACAAACCTGCACCCAATTTGAAATCTTCTGCCCCCATGTGCTCCAAGATGGAGACTCTCATAGTTTAGAGTTAGGACAGCACTATAAGAGGTGCCTTGGCGCGGCTGTGCGGCTTTCACATTTTCTGCAGAAGACGTGTATCCAAACTCTGTTATTAACCTTAGTGGTGAGACAAGTTTTTTTACATGCTGACTTGTGAGTGTGCCATGATACCTTTCTACTGTTTGCCAAAGCTCAGTATACCGCGAGCTACAGCTCGTGCTATATCTTGAGACCGCCGCAGCCGGGACGGATCCCGACATTACTGTCGAGATCCACCCCGCTGCGTGATTGACAGCTGGAGGGGAGGGGGGGGGGGGGGGGGGGGGGGATCTCTGCAGGGAGCCGTCGGCTCGAACTATGAGGCTGAGTGATTTTCACTCACCTCATAGTTCTAATTTAATGCACTACGCCTATATTTCTTTTCTTAATCATGCTATTAAATAAGACCTATTTATTTACTAAGCTTGCAATGCACCTTGTGCAATCTCCTTTAGAGTTACCAAGGGTATGAATGTGTAGACCTTCCTAAATAATCCATTCAATACAGATCAAAGTAGGATCAAGACCAGGGCACAAAGAAAATAGATGTTTTCTCTGTGCCGTTTCCACCACAATGATGCCTTGAGGTGGGTTGCAGTGGATTGTAAAAAAGTAGACATGCTGCATGTTTCTGCAATGTACTGCAGCTCACTTGAAGTCACCACCCGTCACTGTACCGCATCGGAGCTGCAGTGCATAGAAATGGGTAAAAGCCATTTTGTGAAATTTAACAGGGTTATTCACTTAAGAGTTTGGAGAAGGCAGGAGAAGTGAACAATCTAGGCCAAAAAGGTTGATTTGGAAAAGATTTCCAATTCAGCTCACTTTCTAGTTCTATGTTGACCTAGATTGTTCACTTCTCCTGCCTTCTCCAAACTCTTCACCCTTTTGTGAAAAACCCTGTAAGAGTTGAAAAAAAGAAAAAGGTAAACAATACTTTGTGTTGCTACAACGCAAGACACTGCCCCCACCGCCAGTACACAACGGACATCAGCCGCCCATTAAAATGTGGGCTGGTGTGAACAAACGCTTAGATTCCAACTAAGGAAGTTTAAGGAAAGAGCAATTCAGCAGACACTTCTTTCCTTACACTTGATCTAAATTTTCCATTACAAATAAATATAACATATATGTCAACATTTCTTACTTTTGGAAATTTAAATGGGATGTGAGGTTTGTGGTAGCCCACGGCTAAGAAGAATGAAGAATTTTGCTGCTTTACAAGTTTCAGTAGTCTGATGGCTTCTTCGGTGCTCTGTATATCTGGTAATGTCCCCTCTGGTACCTCAGCCAAATCCACTGGACATACCAAGTTGGCATGTAGCTTTCCATCTTTACCCTTGCAGGTCTATACAAAACATATCAAATGCAGTCTGACTCAATTACAGATAGATGAATAACTAGAAATATAATTAACATATATTCTTAAAGTGGACTTCACTCAAAATGCGATTTGCTACCGTACAGAGAATATTTCATATTTACCTGACTACAAAAAATACATTTACAATTTTTTGTCTTGGACAAAGAAGGAAAATATGTACAAAGCCACTATACATCCCTGAGCAGAAAAAAATGTCGTCTGGCGACGGCAACCCGCGAATGCGACAGTGCCGTCCGTCCGTTTTTCTACTACGGGCGGACGGCAACTGGTTAAAAAGGTACAAAAAGGAGATTTTTTTTTTTTTAAAGTCAAAAGCCCCATCCTCAATCCAGTAGTACAGGAACCAGCCTGGACAGTACAGTAGAGAATATTTGACCTAGATGTCACTAGTTAATCTGTACTCACTTTCATATTCTCATACTTCTCAGAAGATGGATGGAAAGGTCTGACTGACCAACTGTAAGGATAGTCATCACTATGATTAGATGAGATTCCTGTAATACACAGAAAAAAAAGGACAGGTGATAAGATAAAAAAAAAAACACAAATATAGAGTCAGGGCATTACGATTGTTGGGAAAACACAGGAATCTTGGAATGCCCTGATCATGACTAGTTAAAGTGACACTAAACTCAGCAGTTAAATCTTAAAAATGCATTCAAGTACCCTAACTATTAACAGAAATGTAGCTTATTTGTGCATCACTCAGCTGTAGATCCTCAAATCATCTGTGAATTGGTGCTGACACTGTCCTTCCTTCTGGAGGGTGGCTACTTTTGTTCCCCATGGTCTCTGTGTATGTTGTAAAGCTCCAAGCTCGCTCACGTGATAGACTACAATCTCAATACAATTTAGTAAACTAAATGTAAGAAAGGCACTAAAAATTTGTAAAAGGTGAACAGAGAGACTGAAGTACTAAACTACTGTGGGTGCAGCTACTCACAGGCCTGAAGGAGGGTGCCTGCAGAACTGTCTGTGCCTTCAGTAGGGAACTGTCCACTGCAATAAGCAGGAGGGCATAGAAACCCTCCTTACACAAAAATACTATGCACAGGCTTTGATTCTAACTATGTTAGTTGGCTTCCCAAGACATAACAACATCATGGTGCACCTTTGCTGATATCACTTAACCAAGAGCCCAAAGGTGATCTAAATGACACAGATATAGTAAGTAGAAAAAATGCTACAAACTGACAACATTTAAACAGACAGCAAAAACAATAGAAAATAAAGTACTTTACAGTGCAAAGAGTTGCCAAACTTTCTTATAACAGAACAAGTAGCATGAAAAGCTCGCTACTTGAAGACAAGTGACGTGTGTGCCGCTGACGTTCACGGATTCTTAACAAATGAAGCTAACCTGGATGAAAAACTTTTCCCACTGACATAGTTACATAGCCATGCTCTTTAAAATACTGCGGGAGAGTGGAGTAATTCCCCGAATGCTTCCTCCAATAGGAATTGAAGTCAAACAGCCTGGTGGTATCAGGTCTTCTTCCAGTTAAAAAAGAGACTCTGCTGGGAGCGCACACCGATTGCTTCAAGAAAGAATGAGAAAGAGACTTATTAGAAACGGCAGCACTCTATAATAGGAATAGAAACAATGTTCTATTTGTGCTAAGTGTAACACTACCTGGCAGAGCTGTCAATCATTTTAATGGCATGCTGTTATGCAGTATACCCACATCTTTCAAAATGTTAAATTAATAAGTGTCAAACTGCTATATTAGTCTGGAGATAAGTAGCACAGTGTTCCCAACTTGATACCAATTGAAATATTTCTGTATACATAATCTAATGTCACCCATAAGGTTCACAGTTTTGTTTTTTAAGAAAGTGAAAGGCAGAACAGACAAATATTATCCTAGAAACTGAAACAATAAGAGACAGTAGGAGTGGGTATCATCCACTATAGTCATTCAAATGACATGTATGACTATGGTAAATAACAAGGTGTATCTACCGTAGTTTCATTCAAATGTTATCAGAATAATGCCCCTTCTGTTGTATATCAAGTGGGCTCCAAGAAGACCTCTAATATACACCTCCCCATCTTCCCCAGTCTGTATATGGGAAGATCTCTCACTGGGAACACTGGATGGTGGGACATCTGCTTGTCAATGCTCAATTCACCACTCTCAAGTTAATCCCTTTAAAATAATTTTTAATGCAATAATAGAATGCACATATTTTGGGGATTCCACGATCGATACACTTGTAGTGTTGATGGAGGAATCTGCTCTATTTTTTTCATTACGCTTGCGGGTTAAACGAGAAATATTAAGTCCTGTGTATATAAGCTAACAATTCTGATTTTGCGAAGATGCTCAGATTCTGCTAGCTCATCCCATGAGGAATTTTTCTAGAAAAATACTATTTCATCACACTCAATCAATGGGCACTCTTTTGCAAGTCTAAGGGCTCATGTGCATGGCAGTAAAAAAAAGGTGCTGTGTTTTTATCAGTACAGCTTTTACTTTTTTTTGTACAGATCTGAACATGGCTATATGGTTTTCTATGGGCCCACACCGCTGCGCAAAGATCATTAAACTTGCACTGCGTTCAGATCCGTAAAATCAGACCAGAAAAATCTTCGCCCACGGTCCTGTGTATGCCGTATTTTGCGCTGTAAACACTTAAAACTTTGTGCTAATGTTTTCGTGTGTACAGCGCAAATGTATGTTATTGGCCAGCTCAGGTCTGACATGTAAATATTAGCAATGTGCAATCAGCTTGATTACACAGTATTGCATTGACATGCTGGCCCTAAATGACCATCTGTGTCTTATCGACCAAGGGCCTTAGGCGGCAGAAGCTGCCTAAATCCTAGCAACCAAGGAGGGTCTGCCTGCATCCTATCAAAGGAGGACACTACGGAACAAGCAGCGCCTGCTTTCTAGCAACAGAGGCAGCTGGAGCTGCCTCATCCTAGCGATCAATGGGGCACATTTGCGCTATATACGTTGCACATATGTAAACATGTTACCAGTAAGGTCCTGTGTAAAATTATACCCCCCTTGAGCATGAGCCCTAATAGAAAGTCACATAGGTCTGCTATGGATGAAACAAACAAAAAAAATATAGGTATATAGTCCACCAAAGTACAGGTAATGGAGGTTAGATGTCTTAAAGGTAGAAATGAGTAGAAGATCCATATACATATCTCACCCTAAGACATTCAGATTTTTCATAATGGTTACTGTAATATCTGAAATGAAAGTCTAACAGTCATGTTTGCTTACCTGTGCATAAGCATTGGTAAATAAAATACTGTGAGATGCCAACTGATCAATATTGGGAGACTTGATAATATCATCACCATAACAGCCTAGGCTTGTGCGGAGGTCATCAACGATTACCATCAGGACATTCCTACCACCTATAAGTGGAGATAATTGAAGCCTTGTTTCAGGCAGTAATTAGTTAAAAGAAAATATTCTATCACATCTAGTTGTATTCTCAGTCTAAACTGCCTAAGACAAGACCTGAATTTATAGAAGACCAGTATCTTTCATATATAGGTAAGTCCTTAGAGTCCTGATAACTGCATTAGTTTTCATTTTTCAGGCTAAGAATATTATCAGCAAGTAGAGAAAATCTCTGTCAACCTTGCCACAAAGGCATTGTCCTTGCCACTTCCAGTGAGCTGAATAAAACAAAAACAAGATAATCTTCCTGATGTAATCTACTAATTCCATCGACTCAAAAGTAATGAGAATGAACAGGGGCAGACATGTCTGATGTTCAGCCTGGGTCCGTAGCCACCTATGGAGAGCAAGTGTGTTATTTACAGGGTTACCAGGTATTAATGAAGAAAAAGAAGCATTAAAAAAGAAAACAAATGCAGCCACCTTGTCTAATGATTAGTGAGCTGCAATATTACAGAATACATTTTGGGGGGTTAAGATACACTTTAAATATGTGCACCATTCCTGTGCCATATAAAAAAGAAAATCAAACAGATCATATTAATTGTAATAGAGCAGCATGCAGAAGCACCCACCTAAGTATATGATTAACATCCGCATTCCTGTTCAGATGAGGCTATATTCATTTTCAATGACAGAGAGACAATCTGAAAGTAAACAGTGCATTGCAGGGCTGTGTGATGGATCTGCAAGCTGCTAGTAAACATACACTTCACTGGCAGATAGATCACACAACCCTGGCAGCTGCTATAATAAAGTAACTATATATACCAACAATTTGTTTCACAGATAAACATTTGATACACACTGCATTATGGATTTTCTAAACAGAGAGAACAGTGAAAGTCAATTGTCAGGGTTGTGTGATTTATCTGCCAGTGAGGTGCATTTTTACTAGCAGCTGGCAGATCCATCACACAGCCCCGCAATGCTGACTGCTCATTCACTAATTCAGTAGCCATCAGTCAGCATTGTCAGGGTTGTGTGATTTATCTGCCAGTGAGGTGCATTTTTACTAGCAGCTGGCAGATCCATCACACAGCCCCGCAATGCTGACTGCTCATTCACTAATTCAGTAGCCATCAGTCAGCATTGTCAGGGTTGTGTGATTTATCTGCCAGTGAGGTGCATTTTTACTAGCAGCTGGCAGATCCATCACACAGCCCCGCAATGCTGACTGCTCATTCACTAATTCAGTAGCCATCAGTCAGCATTGTCAGGGTTGTGTGATTTATCTGCCAGTGAGGTGCATTTTTACTAGCAGTTGGCAGATCCATCACACAGCCCTGCAATGCTGACTGTTCATTCACTAATTCAGTAGCGATCAGTCAGCTTTGTTGGGGTTGTGTGATCTGTCTGTCAGTGCTGTGTATGTTTACTAGCAGCCTGCAGACCTATTATGCAGCCTCACCGTGCTGAATAATTGTTTACTATTGAATTTGTGAATGAACAGTCAGTGCTGTGTGGCTGTACACATTAAGAATCTATACAGAGCAGATGGTGTCTTATGCTGTGCTGTGGCTCCCTCATAGGAAATTGGGATCCAACCTGGGGTGAAGCTACAGCACAACATGATGTAAAAATTAGCTTTTAGGCCTTAATCACACTTGCACTCATGCGTTCAGCTTTTCTAAATGCAGGAGAATAATCTGAGAAGTGTAAAATAATGTTATGCTTTTCTATGTTAAGATATTTGTACTTAAAGCCTTGTTTCATATGTATTGCTGCGTTCAGACCTGGACACACAGAATTCGTTCTTCTCTAAATGCAACTAAACTGAATGCAGTAAATACAAAGTCTGAATGATACCATTGAAAATCAATTACGTGCATTTATATGCTTTTAAAAATGTGCTTTGAACACATCCACAAGGGGGCCATGGATCAGAATGGGATCAAGTGCTACATGCGCTAGGTACCATGTGGGATTCAATACAGATTTTTAATTTGTGCCAATAGTTCTCTAAGCCACCGATAGCTCAGAATAAATAAATAAATGTTTTTCTGGAGTATTGTGTGTGGTGTCTTTAATATTACATTTAATATTGACACAGCCAGTTTGATAAAGAGGATACGTTGTCCTGGTCACTTTTCATTGGTGTGTATGTTTTGGTTATCAAAAAAACTGTTGCAGGGGCGATTATAAATATATTGCAAATGTTATGTGACAGACTTGCAACTTCACACAAAACAAAGGAAATCGTTTGATGAATGAGCTGCAGACAGATTTGTGACAGGAATGTGCCTGATTCTGTTGGTGAAATGCTTGATAAGTTTCAGTCTAAAGTGTATCCTGAATCTAAATATTCAGATTTAAAGTGTATCTAAAAAAAGGTATAGGGCTATGGTAGGGCATAGGGCTACGGTAGGGCATAGGGCTATGGTAGGGCAAAGGGCTATGGTAGGGCAAAGGGCTATGGTACGGACGTGCAGGCCGGATGAGCTTAGGGCGGCGTACTCCCATAGAGAAGGACAGGGGCTGCGTACTAATCACACGCAGCACCTGTCCTTCCCGGGAGCTGCCTGATACGGCCGTGCACGCAGCACGGAGCTGTTTGTGCCGGCCGTTTTCTCGTGTGAGTGAGGCCTAAAGGTCCATTTTAAAGATAAGGGAAATCCAAACATTTGAGTTGTCACAAGCGCAGTAATAGAGGAAAATTCTTAGGGCCTTAGGGCCCATTCACACTGTTGTGATGCATATCATGCAGTGCATTAATGTACGATGCATTATAACAGACTATTGGATTAGACTGACTGACACACAAAAAGAAGGCGCATGTACCATTTTCTGTCAGGCAGTGCACTACAATGCATGGTAGTGTGTTACTGTATGTTGTGGTGTGCTGCAACACACACCCATTGACAAGGTGCACTGGAGTGCTATTCACAATGAATTTTAGAATGAATGGCACTGCATTGCACCAACACGTTACAGTGCGTCATGGTGACCTGCAGCATCTCCGCAGTGTGATGGTGTACACAGGTCCTAGAAAAGGATTACTCTCATTCTGGAGATCTTTTCTTTCCCTGCTGGTTGAGTCAATGATGCAGGAAGTAAAACCTCAGCTAGGGCTGCAGCGAACGATTATTTTCATGATCGATTCGTTAGCTGATTATTTTTTCCGATTAATTGGATAATATGCCGTCTGGCGACGGCAACCCGCCAATGCAGCAGTGCCGTCCGTCCGTTTTTCTACTACGGGCGGACGGCAAGAGGTTAATTTAAAGTTCTCCTTCAGGTCCTCCTCTGGTGATTGACAGCAGGCAGTGGGCGGGTGCAATAGCCAGCCTCCTACAGCAATTTAAAATATCCAATAGCAGGATGGCTATTGTTTCCAGCCGCTGATGGGAGACTTGATGCTGGTGTTCTATCAAGCCTTTGGACTCGAGTCCGAGGGATTGATAGAACGGCGACAGAAGAAGGGGCATGGGGGAGCAGAGAAGGGAACATGGTGGGCAGCGGAGGAGGAACGGGGCAGCGGACGCTGGTACTGGCTGCAGTGGTCTGTATCCCTGCTGCCTCTGCCGATACAGGCGGGGAGAGCAGTGGGGATTGAAAGAGACACAGACCGCTGCAGCCAGCACCAGCGGGGAGGAGAATGGGAGGAGCAGAGCGGCAGAAACGAATCGAAAATCAGCTAATTGATGATGAGAATCGTGCCAACGATTCTCAGTATCAATTATAATCGATTTGTTGTTACATCCCTACCCTCAGCATTACCATTCCTTACTCCATAACAAAAATAAATATTTGGGCTTGCGCTATACTTTAAATAGAAGGTAAACTGTCAACATCAGCATAAATATAAAAATAAAAAACAAGTATCGTTCTCATTTCCCCAAGTCGGATGTTCCACCATACAGGAAGGCAGAGTACATGATCAGATGACAGACATGCAGTTCTGCACTTCGGCCACCAGGTGTCACCATGTACGAGTACACAATAAACATGCAGCGCCCGATTCCTGGACATGTGAAGGAATCTTGGGCTCTGAGTACATTATAATGTGTCTATGGGATAAAACCTGAAGCCGAGTCCAGATATAAATGACCCACCGACAACGGAGGAGGCAGAGTGACCGAGCAGCAGCAGGAAGAGGAAGTTAGTCGGTGATTTCATGTTGCATTACTGCATATGTGAGCGCTCCATCCACCGCTCATCACACTCCTGTACACAGCTCACGGGCTGCAATCCAGAGGAGTACAGTACTTCCTTGTCTATTACTTATACCGCCTCTGATTGGCTGAGGCAGCATGCCTGAATTTTGTTGGGGGATTTTCATTGGCTGATCTTGGCTCTGCTAAGGAAAAATGATTGTTTACACTTCAAAAGGATAAACTTATCACTATAGACATTCCAGCTGTGCTCCAACTACAAATCCCATCATGCATCTGTCTCTGAGACTCATGCCTGTAACTGTCAGTCTTGCAATGCCTCATGGGACTTATAGTTCCACAACAGCCCCACAACAAATTCCCCTGTGTTTACATGTACCATGGTTTAGCCACATAAACACAGAGACTATATTGCCAAACATATTGGGACAACCCGCCAAATAATTGGATTCAGGTGTCCCAATCCCCTCCATGGCCACAGGTGTATAACATCAAGCACCTAGGCATGCAGACGCTTCTACAAACATTTGTGAAAGATTGGGTCGCTCTTAGGAGCTCAGTGAATTCAAGTGTGATACCGTGATAGGTTGTCACCTGTGCAATAAGTCCATCCGCGAAATTTCCGTGCTACTAAATATTCCACGGACACCTGTTAGTGGTATTATAACAAAGTGGAAGCGACTGGGAACAACAGCAACTCAGCCACAAAGTGGTAGGCTACGCGGTAAAAAAGTTGTGCGACAAACGCGCGTTTCCGAAGGCTACTTGGCTGTATCCCAATGGAAACGCGCAACAAAACGGCCCAAAGTAGTACCTGTAACTTTTCAGGCGTGGGCCGTTTTGTAGCGCGTTAGGGACGGGCGGAAATACGCCAAGGTGGGAACGAGACCATTGAATACAATGGGATTTATATTTTTGAGCGTTTTGTAGAGCGTTCCTCGAGCGTAGAACGCGCTACAAAACGTTCAGGTGTGAACGAGCGCTAAGGAGCTCAGTGAATTCAAGTGTGATACCGTGATAGGTTGCCACCTGTGCAATAAGTCCATCCTTGAAATTTCCTTGCTACGAAATATCCCACGGTCACCTGTTAGTGGTATTATAAGAAAATGTAAGCATCTGGGAACAGCAACTCAGCCACGAAAAATGGCTGTGTAAAATGACAAGGGCGCGGCCAGCGCATGCTGAAGCGCAGAAGTAGCCAACTGTCTGCAGAGTCAATAGCTACAGACCTGCAAACTTTGTGCGGTCTTCAGATTGGCACAACAACAGTGTGTAGAGAGCTTCATGGAATGGGTTTCCATGGCCGAGCAGCTACATCCAAGCCTTACATCTCCAAGTGTAATGCAAAGCGTGGGATGCAGTGGTGTAAAGCACGTTACTGGACTCTGGAGAAATGGAGACGTGTTCTCTGGAGTGATGAATCACGCTTCTCTGTCTGGCAATCCGATGGACGTGTCTGGGTTTGGCAGTTGCCAGGAGAACAGTACTTGCCTGACTGCATTGTGCAAGTGTAAAGTTTGGTGGGATTATTGTGTGGGGTTGTTTTTCATGGGTTAGGCTTGGCCCCTTAGGCCTGGTTCACACCTGAACGTTTTGTAGCACGTTCAACGCTCGACGAACGCTCTACAAAACGCCCAAACATCTAAATCCCATTGTATTCAATGGGTCTGGTTCACACCTTGCCGTATTTCCGCCCGTCCGAACGCGATACAAAACGGCCTACGTCCAAAGAAGTACATGTACTTCTTTGGGGCGTTTTGGTCTCGCGTTTCCATTGGGATACAGCCAAGTAGCCCTCGGAAACGGGCGCTTATCATTTTTTTTACCGTGAATCGCGGTAAAACCACGCGTCGCGAAACGCGCATATTCAATACGCCTAGGTGTGAACCCAGCCTTAGTTCCAGTGAAGGAAAGACATTTTGTACAATTTCATGTAGCAGTTATAGCTGCAAAGGGTGGGCCAACTCAATATTGGACCCTACGGACCAAGACTGGGATGCCATTAAATTCATGTGCGTGCAAAGGCCGGCGTCCTAATACTTTTGGCAATATAGTGTAGTATGAAAATCACTATTAAATATCATTATATGTATTTAAAAATGTCCTAGCTATGACTAAGGCCTAATGCACACAGGCGTCAAATACATGTGTCCAGATGTATTTGGACCAAGCTACAGGAGATGGTCAGAGACTGCAGACACGCTACAGGTGATGGTCAGATACTGCAGACACGTTACAGGAGATTGTCAGAGACTGCAGACATGCTACGAGAGATGGTCAGAGGCTGCATACACACTACAATGTGATGGTCAGAGACTGCAGACATGGTACATGTGATGGTCAAGAGACTGCAGACACTCTGCAGGAGATGGTGAGAGACTTCTTAGACTTGACAAATATCAGTCGATTCTTGGCCATCTTTACAAATAAATAATTTTAAAATTAAAAATAACAATTTTCTCTAACAAGTGTTACAAAAGTGTAAACAGAGAAAACATACCAGGATTTGTTACGAATAAAAAACTTTTATTAAACTCAGGACTATATTGCTTCAACCAATGTACAGTATGTGTTATAACAGCTGAACGTCTATATCTCCGTGTCCCCTGATTACTGGTGAACAGAGTGTTCCCCGATCACCGAGTCCCCCAGCACTATGTCCCTCGATAACCGAGTCCCCCAGCACTATGTCCCTCGATAACCGAGTCCCCCAGCACTATGTCCACCGATCATGGTATCGCCAGCATTGTGTCCCCAGCACCGGGGCCCCTGATCACGGTGTCCCCAGCATTATTTCCCCTGATTAACGTGTCTGCCGATCACTGTGTCGCCAGCATAGTATCGCCAGCACTGTGTCCCCCGGTCATGGTGTCGTCAGCATTATGTCCCCAGCACCTGGGCCCCTGATCACCGTGTCCCATAATCATAATGTCTCCCGAGCAGCGTGTCCCCTTATCACCGTTCCTCCGATCTCTGTGTCCCCCGATCACCGAGTACCCCGATCTATGTGCCCCCCATCATGTATTTCTATTATAACTCGCTTCCTCTATCTAATGCAGTTGGCAGGTCTGTGTACCGTATATACCGTAATGACTGATATAGAGGAGGCCTGGCACGCACCATTCTCTGGGTAAATGCGCAGTTTGTAGAATGAAGTAGGTAGTGATTGGCTGCAGTGTAGCTCGCCATGTCCGCTCAGTAGAGAGCCCGGAAAGGGGATGACAACATGAATCTCAGGGGGCTCTTCCAGGATTTCAACCCCAGGTGAGCCGATGTGCGGGGTGGTGACGGGGGAGCGACCCGGGGACTCGTGTTGTAGGGAGATCGGAAAGCGGATAGGAGATGCCGAGGAGTTTGAGGCCTAGTGAGGGGAAGGAAATGGCTGGAGAGGGGGAAGGACTCACTAGACGAGGCCTGCACAGCCTGATACTGGGGAGCGAGCTGAGTGCCCTGGTATTAGGGGGGAAGGAAGGGGGAAGGAAGCCGGGTGCCCTGGTATTAGGGGGAAGGGAGCTGAGTGCCCTGGTATTAGGGGGGAAGGAAGCCGGGTGCCCTCGTATTAGGGGAAGGAAGCCGGGTGCCCTCGTATTAGGGGGAAGGAAGCTGGGTACCCTGGTATTAGAGGGGAAGGAAGCCGTGTGCCCTTGTATTAGGGGGAAGGAAGCTGGGTGCCCTGGTACTGGGGGTGGAGAGGAACCTAGATGT